TGTTAACGTGTTGATAAAGTATGAAGCTAAAAAAAAAAAAGAACAAACGCTTATCTAAACAACATCGTTGAAATCAAGTGGAGCGCGAGTAGCCATAGTCATGTCCTTTTCATTCTTTAGCTCGTTCTCAAAATAAGACAATACAAGCTTTTGTTTCTGCACCTCTTCTTGGAGTTCTCTGATCCTTGCGCTACTTTCTTGCGCTTGCTTCTTCTTCACGTAAACGTTCCAAAGCTTCATCTTTAGCCAATCCAACTTAAACCCTACATCTTCTAGGTCAAAAATAGTGTTGTCTACTTCGTCTAGTTCTTCGTCATTTAGCTCAAGAGGTGATCGACACAACATCCCGATAATGTCAAGGAGGACATCAATGTAAGCTTTCTTGAGCTGCTGTTTCTTTGGGCGGAAATCTGATGCAGTGTTTGTGTGTCTTTCGAATATTCGCCTCATCCATTTGACCTACAAGAATGATGTAATCCAGAAAACAAAGAACATGATCGGAGATTCAGAATTTTGGTTACCTGTGAAGAAGGAACCTGAAACCCATTGACGTCCACTATTTCATCATCACTATCATAAATGCTCTTCAAATGCATCATCAGCAAGAAATAACATAAAGTGACTCTTTTTTCTTTTTATTTTTTTCGAATGATATTTTCTTGAATTCAAAACTGCATGAGCATGATGGAAAAGAACTGCATGAGGATAAATTTCTTTAGTCGAGGAATTAAACTTTTTTTTTCAGAAAAGGAACGGAGAGAAAGAGATATATACTTAAAGAACAAGCAGGAAGTCGTCTTTGGGTTCTTGCAAGAGATAGATATATGAAGAATATGCATGCATCCATCTATTAACGAATGTGATAGGCTTGGAGTTTTGACAAACAAATTCGTTTAATGCCAACTCTTCGCTTGCCCTAGACATTACTTGTTCATCAAGAAACTTAATGCGTTAAAGACAACTGGAGAAGTCTCTTTATCTTCTTAGAAAGGGATGGCAGGAGAACAAACCAGACATACTAGCTCTAGTAAAATACAAATCTAATTGCCTAAGAACTTAAAAATCATCAGCCAACAAGACAGGAGCTTTGGCGGCCAAAACCTCTGCCTTCTCCTTCTCCAACCGAACTTCGAGATCTGAGCACTTCTGCTTCAAATCTTTCAACTCTTCCTCAATCTTTTGTATCTGAATCTCACCAACTTCCTCTTTCTCCTTCTTTTCTGACACTTGATCAAGTTTCTTCTTCAACCATTCCAACTCAAATCCAACATCAGTCATGGATTCCACTGCAGCATATGCATCATCAAGGTCATCCTTGGAGATTTTCTTTGGAGACTGGCGCAAAGTCTCAATCAAGCTGAGTAGGACATTCATGTACCCTGTCTTCAGATACTGGTTCTTTATACTGACTTTTGTTGCAACGTCTGGATGCCTTTCAAACAAACGGCTCAAAGATTTCAACTGCGAGTGAAATAAAATTGATGTACAAATTAAAACCATATCAGATAGCAATCTTGAGAGATCTGGAATCAGGTCCAGTGTATTTTATAATCTTAAGCCTGTATATAAATCCAGAAACTAAAGCACAGTGAGTGTTAGGGTTTATTTGCTAATTCGTGTGTTTATAACTATTTTTCTTACCTGGGAAGGAAGAACTTGAAACCCGTACACATCTAATTGGCCAATAACTTTAAGGACCTTTATTTCAGCGACAATTTTGAGTTCTCCGTTTGCCAGAAATCCGCTATCTTTGGCCAGTTCATTAAGGGGAAACATGGATGTGAAACCCCAGTCTGGTTCTTTCTCATCTAAACAGTGTTCTGTTTCTGAAAAAGCAGAAAACATATTCAATCTCATCATCATTTACATAACCAAATAAAAACATGATTTGTAAGGAGATTGAGCATCAGGTTGACATGGATATATACAGATAGAATCTCGCGGCAGCGAAAGTCTACACAACACAAATATAGTCAAACAATAATGAACTTTCCGCCTTATAAAAAGAATAAGGCGAAAATACTCACCTTTAAGTTGAGAGAGTTTTTCCGAAATTTGATTTACTATAGTTTGCGGTTCTTTCCCATCCAGAAGGCAAAGATTCAGACTCGGCAACGTCAAGATACAGAGACAAATTTTCAGCGTTATTATTTCCTTTCGGAAATGCCTTAAAACGCCTGCAAGCAATAACCGAGGGGAACAAAACAATGGATATGTCTCACAAAAACCTCAAGGGATGAAGAAAAAAATAGAAAACATGTTGTCTTCTTACCATTTGCAACCACCAACAACGAATATATCAGAAAATATTTTCTCAGATGGCAAAGATGAGAAATTCTTTATCACCCAAGTGAACTTCTTATCAGCTTCTTCATTCTCCATTGATATAGTAGATAACTCCTAGAGGCCTAAAATTTGCAAATCATATAATCAAAACATAATCTCGAGAAACAAGCAAAACTATATTTTCAAGTTACAGAAATGGAGAATACGAACAAAGAGATGGAAAAGAAAGGGTAAGAAGGAAGGATATATAAAGAAACACCTCTCTGATTCACGTCGATAGAAAGAGATGACAGAGACGGACGATGTACTGCAACGGCGAAGCTACACAACTTTAAAAGCATAGTACTGCATACAAAAGTGACGCCTAGGGTTAATAACCAAGACGAGAGGAATGCGAATCGCCGAATCGCATCGGGTCCTTATGGCGCATAGGGCTAATAAATATTTGGGCTCGAATTAAGTATATAACAAAGTTAATGGCCCAAAAAATTGAAATAAAAATCTACCAAATGATATTTTGGAATGTTAGGTGATTTGTGGATTAATAACCGCAGTGATCTCAGTTGCTCTGTTTTTGAGGTTTCAAAACTTATGCTCTGTTTTTAGAGCTCTGCCTTTAAAAAAACATTTGTAAATTTTATCTTTGTTGATTAATCAATATTATATTTTAACAAAAACAAAATTTTTTTTGTCGATTAATTGGTGTTTCAAATTAAACAAATGTTTTGTTTTTCCGTTTGTTGATCTCCCTGTTGCTTTCGGAGCAAGTCATCTATTAAAACGCCAAAAGTAATAATCAAGAAGGAAAATCCGCACCAATTTGGCATATTAATTATTTTGCCATAAAAAAAACTCGGTCCGTTAAAGTCAGTTTGAGAGTCCTCCACTACAAAATCTCTGACTTCTTCTTATCCATCTGAGTTTCAAGGTCTAAGCACTTCTGCTTCAATGTCTTAAGCTCTTTTTCCATTTCTTGCAGCTGGGCCGAACAAG